GTAGCAACAACCACCTTTCAAGGTCGGCTGTGCAATCACCAGTTTTGAACAATGTAGATAAAAGTATGGAATAATAAAATAGATCTGACTTGATCAGATCTTGAAGACCAATGATTGCTTTGACCGGTCAAAAGAATAAAAAAAATTAAACATTATACCTCTAGTCACCATAACCACTATTCTTGATTTATAGAAGCTGATTTCCTTCTCGTATCAACCTTTGGGCATTCTCTTTGGCTCTATCAATACAGGTGTCTCCACTTTAATGTAGTACCTTCTACCACTAAGATAGATGCTTGGTGACTGCAAAGACTTAGTATGTTCCCTTGAGTCACAATGATTCTCTCATGAATCATTTCTCTGAGACACAGTGTTGATAGGATGCACTCTCATGAGTTAGAGGTTAGGATGAGATTAGTTAATAGAGAGAATGCTTCATTCACCCAAGGGAGAGGAGTCCTCTCTCATATTAATTCTTTTAGTCAATTGCCCCTATCAAAGAGTTTACCTAAAGAGGAGCTTAGTTAATCTAGGCAAGGTGGAAATGATTGGAAAAAAGTTAAGTTATAACTCAACATTTCAACAATAAATTTGAGCTAGCAAAAAAGAGTGACAATTCATTTCATTCATTATACTAAATACAAAAAGGAGGCAAGAGAAAGAGAGAGAGAGAGGGCAATCCAAGCACGGAAGCTTGAAAATGTAATAATGTACAAGAGCCAAGAAAAGAGGACAAAGTTTAAGTATCACTTGGGGGCACGTTAATAATAGTCTCCTCGATTGTTGTAATCACTTTATTGCCTCCCCCAACCTCTCCTTCGTTCTCCATTTTTTCCTCCTCTTCGCTTTCCTGATCTACTTAATCACGATCTCCTCTATAATTGAATCCATCTTCATTTCGTTTATGGTGAGATTAAGAAAACAACTTGTAGAAAGAAGACAATACATCCTAAATCCTTTCTTCAAGAATGAAGCAACATACCCATTTCGCTTAGCACAAAATTCAAAGGATCCTTGCACAACTTAATGGACTTCTCCCCTACAACTTTCAGTTTCTCCGCATGGGCCTTTAGTTGCTCGACTTGGACCTTTAGTTCCTCATAAAGAGCTTTTTGCAGCTAGCTTGGTGTACTCAACTTCCTTTCTCTATAGCTCAACAACCAATTCCTTCACCTTGGTTGCTCTCACTTTAGTTGCTTAGGCTCAGTTTGGAAAGAGTACAAATACAAATATGTATGGTGCAAATACATACAAWATAATACAAAATACAAGGTTTTGCACTCTACAAATTTACATTTGTACTTCTTCCAAATTGAGCCTTAAATGTATAGTACAAATACATACAAAATAATATAAAATACAAGGTTTTGCACTCTCTMTATATATATATTTCTATTTGTATTCCTTCCAAACTTAGCCTTAAACTTTTTTGTTCAACTACCCCTAGGTCGCCTTGGCTTGGACGTAGTTAGTGTGTTGCTTCAGCTTAGCCTTCTCCTCCTTGGTAGCCTCGATCTCATCCAAGCACTGCCCCTTGATTTTAAAGATATTCTCTATGCGAGTGACTTGCCCTTCAGCCTACTTAAATATCTTGTTAGCTATAGAGTTGGTCTAAAGATAAGAACTCATTGCCTAAGATGACATAACAAATGAAGAGAATAGAATAGGGGAAAGTAATTAAAAGGTTTACCTTCACCAGATGTTTGAATAGTCGAGTACCAAGAACTTTCAAGGGGAGGTCCCTCATTTCCCTTTTAGATCGAGGAAGAACTATGCCACTACTCAGCTATTAGGGAACCTCATGTTCCTGATTGGGTCACCACTTTGAACTCTTCGGCGAGGGTTTTAAAAGGAATTCTTCTTAGCTAGGACATATGTAGTCTCCTCCTCATGAGCTTTAGGGGGGCGTTCTTTTTTTGGATTTGGAGAGGGGGGGGGGGAGTTGGTCAATGGGATTTTGGTTCCCATTGACCAAGAATCCCATGTTTTTTTTTTTCAGCTTTATGTGGGGATTAGGAAAAGTTTATTTTCCTGGGTATCACTTATCTAGGAAAGTGATACCCATCTCTTAGGTGGTTAAATAATTTTACCACATAGGGGAGAAGTTGCCAATACTTGAATGGGTTTCTATGGTTAAAATGGTAATTGCCTTATTTACTTGAGAAATAAAAGAACATTGGTAAATGCACTTACTTGGGTAAGTGTTTCCCAAGAAAAACTTACCCAGGTAATTGCATTTACCCGGATAAGTAACTTACCAAAAAGTGAATAGGGCCTTAGAGTAATCGATCTCACTTGAAAGAATAGTAGATGAGTGAGAACAAGTTTGGGAACCTTCATCTTCATAAGGGCCACTTGCTTAGACCTCATCATAGGCTCGGACCTTGGCAACTGTCCGGTTCTTGTTGGCTCTAGCTCATCAATGCCAATAGCAATGACATTGGAAGTTTCCCGAGTTAACGAAGAGGGATCTCGTGTCTCAACCGGTTAGGAGGATTTTCCCTTAGTAAATTTCCTCTTCTTCGCCTTGGACGCAGTGAACACTTCTGCAATATTGCCACTTCTATCTGTGTCATTTGATGAAAGGAGCATGGTACACTACCAGATTAGTAAAAGTATGAAGTAAAATTAAGGGGATAGAGGATGGGGAAACGAGTGACCTTGTGGGCCTGGGCTTAAACCCACTCTTACTAGTAAAACTTTGGTCAAGTAGTATAGAGTTTTCAATCAATGTTTTTGAGCCGTTGTTAACCCGAACGGTCGAACTGTTTGGACCGAAAACTGTTCAGGCGACTGGTTCCGTTTTACCCAAAACCCGATCTTTGGTAAAATACTGTTGAATTATTCAATGAATAGTTGACCCAGACGGTTTGACCATTGAACCATTTGACCTGGAGAACGGTTTGCGGCAAGGTTTTAAAAACTAAGAAATCTCAAATCTGAGACTAAGAAATCTTAGATCTGCGCAGATTTGTCTCTATCGCGCGAAATGGTGAGAGAGATCTGAGATGTGTGAGACAGATCTGCGTGAGACGGTGAGAGAGATCTGAGATGTGTGAAACAATGAGAGAGAGTGAGATCTGAGACTGAGAAATCTTAGATCTACTTTCATCGCCAGTTTGCCACCATCTACGCCGCTGTTGTCGTTGTAGTTCGCTATCGCCATTGCCGTCGTCGTCGCTGTTGCAACCTGCAATTCCTCTTCTTCTTCTTCTTCTAAACTCTTTTAGCCGATAGTTTTCTCCAATCTCTCTCATTCAAACCTTATTTTCTCTTATATAGTTATATTTATATGTATCTTACCCTAATATTCCAATCTAATAGGTAAGATGTTCAAACTGTTCGAACCATTTGACCCGGACGATCAAATCACTGACCAAGAAATTGATGGCCAGAACGATTCCATTTCCGGATCAATTTTTAAAACCTTGTTTTCAGTTCTTTTGAGATTAAGTCATTGACCGAAAATTTCACTTAACTAGGATGACACTTGATATGGCATAACGACCCAAACACCCTAATGTTAACAGAAAGACCATGTTGACTACCTATTGAGGTTGATCATATGGAAATTCTAAAGGTGTTTGGSGAAAGCTRCCTTAAATGACCGTATAATAATTGAGACTTAACCCAGCCTCAAAATCTTACTCATAAACGCAAACCTCGTTTACACTGGGTTCGGATGTAGTAGGCACGTTAGGTAAGCATAATGAGTGAATATGTAATAGCTGTGTGATACATGTTTCATTAATGTGCTTTTCATCTAAATGTTTTTGYTCCTTTAGATAGAAATTATCCATTATTTTATTATCTTTGTCAAAATAATTAAAAATAAAAATAATGAAAACAGAAAACGCAAATGAATCCCAATTCCCAATACGTTTAGATTTTCTTTTTTCATTATTTTTATTTTTAATTATATTGACAAAAATAATAAAATAATAGATAACTTCTGTCCAACTAAACAAAAAAGTTTGGATGAAAGACACATTAATTGGAACATGTGTCACACAGCTATTATATTCTCATTCATTATACTWACCTAACGTACCTACTACATCCCGACCCGTTTACGAGTGGGTAGTCTAAATCTGTATGATTCCGGAACATGCTATTTAGCCCTAAGATTTTGTAAGTTGGCCATCACCAATTGAGTCGGAGTAAACAACTGTTCGGAAATCGAGGTTTGGTGAGAAAGAGGCCGGCCGAGTCTGGAAGCTCGAAGAAAGGGAAGAATGACCTGATGAAGCCTCTGTTGCAATGCTCTTTGACCCCAACACAGGACCCAACCAAGAACGACAAGCGATAAATAGACCCCTCCACCCTTGGAAACTATTGATAAGTAACTCCAATGGCCAGGATTAATTGATCCAATATCAATGGTGAGAATTGGTGAAGCAAAATGAGTTAAGCGCATTTTTAGCATCCACTTTTGAATTAAAATGATTCCGAACCGACACTTGAAAGACTGTATAGATTAAAAACATGAAATGAACCTTGCATCGGAGTGCTTGACAAGAAGAAGCACCTCAGCTTCGAAAAATGGGGGRTAAGTGATGGGGGTCGAACTAACCACCAACATGATTGCGACGCATGGCAACAACACCTCGGATGCCACGGTAGAAGCATATCCTGGCCAGTAGAAACACATCTTTCCAAGCTGAACTCACATCAAAAGAAACACAACCAACACAGATCCACGTTTAACAAGCAACAACAACTTGGCCATACGGTCATCTGATTTACCTAATACCTACCTTGGTCGAGAGTGGGCCTAGGCTTTCTCTACATACACGGTTACACGCGGGGTAGTCCTCCTTTCCAGGAATCAAAAAAATAAATATGACCGAGATCCTTTGGCACTGGACGATAAGATGGGAAATTGCGAGTTAGCCAATCAACCACCTGATTTGCTTCACTTAAACATGTCACTTTGATCTAACAAATGTGACCACGTGTTGATCGAATAAACGCCCCAACTTATAATTTGAACATCAGAGTTCCAAAGTCGGGATATCACTCTGGGGTCTGTCTTTCACTTATCTTCCTTCTTGCAGGTTTTCACTTTCCATCTCGGAAATCCGTCGGAAGAGTCCAATTATCCTTTCTTTTCTTAATTTGGGGACTTTTACGGACATTAAGATGTAAGGTGCTCGATTCAGTCCACACATTTTTATCCATTTTTGTCCGTAGTACTTAACCCCTGTTCGACGTAGCGCGAACGCATCGGCCCAGAAAACAACCTCAATTTCTCATCAATCAACGCTATAGAACTGAGAACACTCCCTTATAAAGCAAGGCGATATACACGAAAGAAAACAGAGGGAACACTCCCTTATAATACACGGAAAGAAACAGAGGGCAAGAAAATATGACTTGTGGGTTCATCTCTGGAAGCGGTGTTAACTTCGATCTTTGCATAAAGCCGATACCGTTGAGCAGAAGATCGACGAGTGAGACTTGTAATTGCGTTTTCCTCAATACCCAAAAGCCCAAAATTAGTTTCTTCATCGAAAACCGTGGTGGGTCTTTCAGAACAAAGGCCGCCATTAACGATGGTTTCGTCACTGAAAGTTCAGGGATGAGTTTCTATGAGTTGCTGGGGATTTCACAAGGTGGGACCTCTTCGGAAATCAAGCAAGCTTACAAGCAGTTGGCGAGGAAGTACCATCCTGACGTGTCGCCACCGGACCGGATAGATGAGCATACCAGGAGGTTTATTCAAATTCAGGAGGCGTACGAGGTGTTGTCTGATCCCAGCAGAAGAGCTTTATATGATAGAGATTTGGCCAGGGGTTTGCATCTCACTTTCTCGGCCCGTAAACAATACCAATATGATGAGGTACTTTTTTCGATCTGTTTCTGATGACCTCTGTACAACGAATTTGCATCGTGTTGTCAAAATTTGGTATCGGTTGATCTGGGTTTTTGGGAATGTTCAAGTTTATGTATGCATTCTTTAGTTATTAGATTTGGAGTAGGTTGGCTTTGCGGAATTTATGTTCCTTTTCTGAATTATGGGTTCTCCTGCTTGTTCATGAACAAGCTTTGTGACGATCTCCTATTAGCAGATAGTTTTATATTTATTCTTATTAATAGTTATTTGATTTTCATTGCTCTAAGCTTGAGAGCAATTAGAACTTGCCATGTTAATTATTATTATCTTAATCTTTGATTGTCTTGTGTCTTTTTACTGACTTGAGCATTCATCTGTTCTGTTTTCAGATTTTCCGTGTTTTTTTGTATGTATCTATTTGCAGGATTTGACATTCTTTTTAGTATATATCGGAATTTGTCATTTATCTGCATAAGGTTCAGGTTTTCTTTTTCTTGTTGTTCTTTATGCAATGCAGTTTTTTGTTCTCCCTTCATCCCATAATACTTGGATCCATGTATTATTTTCTGTCTATTTTCTACTTGTTAATTTCATAAAACTTATTATTTTGTGAGATTGAAGGCTTGATGTTTAATTAAATATTTGAACCTTATTTATTTCGAATTTCTCGGATATTTGATCCTCCATTAATTTCTTTTGATTGGTTTGTATCTTCTAAGTTCGATTTCCTTAACAGTTAACACATTCATGTTGTAAATTTTTCATGCCTTTAAAATGCGACTACTGTATCTTCAGGTTTGAATGTCCAATCTTGTTTTGTTCTGATTTTGGAATTTCTTTTCTAATTAGGGATTGGAAGAGAGAGATGACTGGAGAAGTCGTTGGAAGTCTCAACTTTCAGAGTTGAAGAGAAGGACAATGTACAAGGATTCAAGGAGAAATATGTCATGGGGAGCTCGGATGCGCAGGCAAAGGAATGAATCATCAGCAGAGTAACCATCTCTTGTTTTTTTTTTTTTTTCTTTTCATTGTTTCTTCTTTCCTTTTTAATGTAAGGTGGTTTCAAAATGGATAAGTTAACTTATCTTACAAACCATGTTAGCTACAACCTGTAAGAAAAGCATATTGTACAGAAATATTAGAAGTTTACTTTCTGTTTTATCTTAATGAGAGTTCCATTTCCAGTGTCTAAGTTCAGTTTATTATTTTTCGAAGTTTAATCATATACTGTGCAGTGTTTAGAAAGAGCATGCACTTTCTTTTTGTATTGGTTTTATTGGTTTGGATCATACACCATAAAGGCAGGCTGTAAATTCCATGGCTGATGTTGATGAGCTGCATCTAAATGGTCTTTTAGCTGAAAGTTGCCTTCTTGAATTGGATCTTCACTACTTTTCCCCTAGTCAGGAAAGATGTCTGGCTTTAGATCAAAGTCAATATACTCAATTATTAAGAATATCCAACAGGGCCAAGCTTTAGCCTTGGTAAATTTCATTGGTGAAATCAATGGAATGTTAGTCTAGGTATCAAGGTCATCTCTAAGCATCTTGTATAAGTAACAACCATCAATATTTTGGAGAATCTGCACTAAGAAACTATCTTTTTCCTCCTTCGTAGATGTAGATCTTTCTGTATTTTTCATCTCTGACTTGAGCTTCCTTAAGTTCCCATTTTGAGTGTGTAACCTCAATCTCGAGAACTGCAACTGAGGATTTTTCACTGTAAATGCCCATGAATTCTTGTTGGTGATTGGTTCAGGATTTCCCAMTGTAGATGCCCATGAATTCTTAAGCATCTTCCCCTTGTTTGTTTGGCTTCTTCAATCACCTCTTGTTGTGTCCTAGAAATCTTTGGTCTAGACAACAGTTTTAGGTTAGCTGTTTTTGTCGATGCTTATCTGAATTTAGAGGCTGTTTCCAGTTTCTGCAAAAATACCATGGGCAATTCAATCAAATTAACTCTCCATGGAACCAGGAGCTATAGTGAAGATGGACCCATTATTAGAACCAAACTGAGCCTTATTTATTTATTTATTTTTGGTAAAACAACATGCAGATATGGCATTTTTGGAAATATTTTATGTGGAATCCTGTTTGTTAATAATAGCTATTTCATATTATCCGTCTCAGATTTCATAATTAATGTAATATTCCTGTAATTAGTCACTTTCCATGTCACCGTGTATTATGGTAACATACAGATAGATATGATTATAGAGTTGAGACCACCTGCCAACAAAATACCTTCCAACACTTACCAACAACATCTGACACCGCATATCTTGTTATGAAACTGGGGCCCACCATATAAGTGGGACCCACAATGTAWGAAATATGCGGTCAAGGGCCATGCAGAATGATTGAACAGAAGCCTACAAATGTGAACAAAGGTTAGAATAAGATATCAGCATTTACAGAGGACAACAATTATAGGGACCGCAGCTGTTTCATATAACTGCAATTTTCCTGTGGTTCTGTGTTTCGAACCACAAACAGAAGCCATCATGTGATTATATTATATTCACATATGTTCATAACCGTTGGTTCCTTCAGATTTTATTAAACTATTGGAGTTATTTAGATGATGGTTTTCAAAATCGAACCGGATCGGAAAAATTGGGAACGGTTAGGTGACTGGTTCTGTTTTCCTCCAAAATCGGATTTTCTCAAAGAACCGTTGATTTGGTCAGTAAACTGATGAATCGGGCGGTTATCAGTTCGAACGGTTTTGACTATTTTTTATTTTTAATATTTTTTGTCAGAACGGGCCAACCGTTCGACCCGATAACCAGACCCATGACCTATTTGATCTCCAGGTCGGTTTTAAAAACCATGATTTAGATTCTCATCATTCTGTTCTATTTAATGTTAAATTATGAATGTTTTTAAAACTTYTTTTTTTTGAGAAAATTTAACCAAGATTTATTGAGAATAAAAGTTACAAAGGAGGAAGCTTGTTGCTATACAGATGCTCCAAATACACACCAAATTTAGCTCTACGAATCCAAATTAAATTAACATTCAATCCATCCAAAGAATCCCAAGCTTCAGTCAGATAGTATACCTTTCTCGGCCTTTTGGATAAGATCAAGTGTGGTATCTGTTCTTATCAGCTTTTAAAACATTTCAAATGCTGTCAATGGTCTTCCATACACACGATGAAACCATCTTATTCTACTTTCACTCATTTTATTTATTTATTTATTTATTTATAAAATGTTAATTATAAGGAGATGTACTGTAATAGAATCAATTCTCAAACAAAGGGACCATCTAAAGTTGTTGGACTTGAAGACAAGCAACCGAAAGTTGTTCCATGCCCACTGAAACAATGTCTCAGCTAGTTTTATTCTCTTGGACCGCGTCAAACTTTGAGTGCTGGATGCTGGTCCCAGCACTTTGTCTTTGTCATGATCCACAAGCAGAATATGACTTGTGTCGACAATGAGGCAATCTCTCTGCAGGATGCAGTAATGCTTCTCTTGTCCTGCTACTAGTAACCATTACTATAACCCCAGTTGTGTCAGTCGATTTWCTTCACAAAATATAAGCAAAACAAAAGAAGTTATTATTGGCCCAAATTCAGGATTCATTAGCTATCTACGTTACTAGGTTATTGGTTCAACCGCCTGGGTCAACAACGGTTTGAAAACATTGGACTACAGTACTTGGAGGTTTAAATGGTTTCATCAAAAGGAAAAGCAAAGAATTAAGCAGAGAAGTATGGGCAGGCCCAATGCAGATTTCTGATTTCCACTGCTATAAACATTCAAAAGGTCAAAAACCCATACTCTATACACCCATACCTGCCTGTGAATTGACATCAATTCCGAACTGGCACCTACCCCAAATGTACTTTAAGCCTACAAATTCTGACCCTGGGCTGAATCGTCATTCTCACAAGAATATTTAATAATTAGGGCAAAAGACAAACTCCCTTGTAGCTG